ATGTACAACAAGTTAATTAATTTTAATTAATTCCAATTGTTGCACACGTGCTTGTTAATTTAATTTAAATTTACAAATGGAGTTTTATGTGTAGGAACATATATGATGCAAAGTGAAAGATAAAAAGAGAGAACATTTATTTTCTATTTTTTCAGATAACTATGATGTTATTAGTAAATTATTTTGTGTGTAAACTTTTTGCTTTTGCCATCTATAATTTTTTACTTTATATTAAATTCAATTATTCCATCCGTATATTTATCAATGATGAGACCTCTTGTGTATGGTACAGTAACTCAGTATTAACAGCTTTCATACTGCCGATAACATATCCTATCAAAAATTTGTAAAGATTTTAGGGAGCAATACAAAATGCATTTTTATAAAATTGCACGTATTTTACCTCCATAAAATTGGCTATGTAAAAGCGAAATAAGACTTTTTCATAATGCCTTAAAATACTTTTTGCTATATATATATATATATAATATGTTGAAACTATTATACACATTATTTCTTACATTATTTTCTTTTGACATGCACTATTTTTTCAATTCAACAATTATGTACCAATTATACTATGGGCAACAATGGAAATGATTATTATCATTGTAATCAAACCTTTCAATACTTTGCTGTTATTCTTTTAAATAAAATTATAAATAAATTTTTTAAACTAAGACTGTCTCATAGCTCTTGGGACACGGTTCCACATCATTCACGACATGCCGGTAATTTTCCCAGACTTTCCGGTGATTTAAACAGACAGTTCCACCGCCTCGTAGGTACTGAGTGTCCTGAAACATAATAAAATACGAAATTTAATGAAACATATATTTTTCTAGCAAATTAAATTAATCCTGAAGAGATATACGTAGAAAAGAAATATATTTTGAAAAATGTAGACTAACTTATGGAAATCTTTGTTACTTGAGAAAAGAATAAGTGACCAATTTAATTAATCAATTTTAATAACACAGAATATATTTTAATAGATTGCTTCTTTTCTTATTTAAGTTAATTTTACTAATCTTTGTTTTATTTATTTTATATACAGGGTGTCCCAGATCATTGGAGACAATACTCGTGTGCAGATAGAGCGGACCAAACTGAGTCGAAAAGTCCTGTATCATATTTTTTTTAACGCTTAATAAAGGAGTTATTATTGAGTAAAATCTGGTCAATCAGTGCCAACCTTTAGCCAGGCGCACGTCAATGAGCCGCGCGCCGTGAAGTGTGCACCGCCGCATACTACCAGGTGCGCGGCTCACCGACGTGCGCCCGGCTAAAGATCGGCACTGATTGGCCAGACTTTACTTAATAATTACTCCTTTATTAAGCATTATAAAAAAATGATACAGGACTTTTCGATTCAGTTTGGTCCGCTCTATCTGCACACATGTATTATCCCCAATGATCTGGGACACCCTGTTACACTGTTTGGTGACGTAATTGGTGTAAGATTGCCTTCTAAATATAAAGCTTTTTTTATGTATAAAAGATGTGCACTCACCGCTCGGTTGATATCACCGATGCAGATCCAAGTTTGATTAGCTTTACCTTCAATTGCCACCGCCCACTTTGAGTGATCGCGGCTGCTCTTAAAATCGATATCAAATGCTTGCAAAGAAATAGACACGACATTGTATACTCTACAAAAGAGTCAACAATTTAATTAAATCAGATTGTATTTAAAAACTTTTTTAAACAATGAAAAAAACAAGAACATTACTTTGTGTGCTCGCAATCCGATGGTAATCTACCCCGTCCGTTCAACCACGTTTCCGCGAATAAATCAGACCGTAAAGTTGGTGCGACAAATTCGTCGTACAAATCTATAAATTAGCACGTTGATAAAAACATGTTAATCATTGTGATCTATAGGATTATAACAAAGTATATTAATTTTATACATGTATGAGAATATCTTGGTTCCGTCTGCCAATCGTAGCTAATCAAACTAAAGTAAATTGGTACATTAAAAAAAAAAGAAAAAGGGAAACGTATTCCACAGATGCGTATACCTTTCTGCCACTTGTCACTCTTGGCGAATGATAAAAATTTGACGTCACCAGATGATCTTAATACCGCTTTGCTGCTGAAGGGTGCTTGTCTGATGCGCTTTTGATTGGCCGCATCTGTGAGTACCGGAAATGATGCGGCGAACGTGACAGGGATGTTTCTTCTGTATACTATTATCTGATTGAACATCAACTGTTGACCGATCAGGTCGAATTGATCGCCGTCCATAGAGATGCACAGGAAGCTCTGTCCGTAATTCTCCCCGGATGATGGGTAACCATACTCAGACCGATTTCCCGGAGTCGGATTCTCTTGCATGTCTCGTCCCTAAGGAATTTCATTTAAAAAGTATTTCTCTCATTTAAAGATACCTTAGGATTTCGTTTCTACGGTATCACTCATATGGTATTGAATAGAATTGAGTGAGAAAAATTGAACCGTTCGAGTAACTAAGGCGTTCCTAATGATTAAATTAATAGTGATTGCAGAAGCATTAGAGAAAAATATGATAATATTAACAGACTTTAGAAAATTTCTTAAACGTGATCATACAAATTAATGCTGAGAAAATAACATTAATTTGGAAAGATTAACAATTGTTATCTGGTCCACTTATAACCGGTCTTTCTTATTAATAAATAGTATAAATAACTTACACAGTTCAACAAAAAAAAACACCGGAACGGGACTAGTCGTTTCTTATAGGATTTTGGACGCTGAACGCGAATCCGGTTCAGAAATTACTCCATCACGTCAGAATTTTGAGAAATTTGAAGTTAAAGTTGCAAAAAGGGGCTATTTTCACGAACTTTGTCATATTATAGCTACAATATGTGACGTGCTGGAGAAGTTTTATTGCAATCAAAATAAAGTATGTTGTTAGGACTTTCAAACCTCAAAATTAATTTTTGGTGTCGGTTATGGTTAATAAGATATCCATAGTTAAATATGGAGTGTATTGCAGAAGTTAGCTGTGACTTGTAGGTCATTGACGATTTACCAAATAGCTTTCAATTATATTTATTTAAACTTAGAATTTTTTAGATCGCTGAATACGAATTCAGTGTCAAAATTGTCAAATTCAAAACGGTGAACTCAATATGGCGGATATCAAAACTTAAAAAATGTTTAGATTGCAATCTAAACATTTGAGTCCCCCATTTTGAATTTGACAATTTTAACATTGGATTTGTATTTAGCAAACTAAAAAACTCTTAAGTTTAAATAATAATTGAAAGCTATTTGGTAAATCGTCAATGACCTAAGTCACAGCTAACTTCTGCAATACACTCCATATTTAACTATGGATATCTTATTAACCATAACCGACACCAAAAATTCCTTTTGAGGGTTGAAAGTCCTAACAACATACTTTATTTTGATTGCAATAAAACTTCTCCAGCACGTCACATATTGTAGCTATAATATGACAAAGTTCGTGAAAATAGCCCTTTTTGCAACTTTAATTGCAAATTTCTCAAAATTCTGACATGATAAAGCAATTTCGAAACCGGATTCGTGTTCAGCGTCCAAAAACCTATAAGAAACGACTAGTCTCGTTCCGGTGTTCGAAAAAAAGTCATTTTTTTTAACGATGTTATTAATAATTATATTGGGTCGGAACATAAGTTCGTAGCGTTTTTAATAGGTGGCGTTTGAACACGTGAGTTCATTTCACACGTAGCGGAAGAATATGAAATATATACATATTCTGAAAGCTGATATTTCAACGCGTCTTTCTATGCGATTTGTATGTGGATTTATCAATTTTAAGTATGTTTATGTTAAAAGTAAAAATAGAGAAAAATAAGGTACATTTTCGTCATTTAATGCTCTTTTATTTCCGGAAAGGAAAAAATGCTGTATAAACAGCAAAAAAGATATGTGCCGTTTATGGAAATGATGCCATAGCTGAAAGTACTCTTCGCAAGTGGTTCGCTCGATTCAGAAGTGGCAATTTTGGTTTGGAAGACCGAGAACGTTCCGGCAGGCCTGCAGTCGTTGATGATGATCAAATCGTAACGCTAATTGAAAATAATCCACGTCACACGACACGGGACATCGCAGAGATACTCCACATATCTCATATGAGCGTTGTGAGATATTTAAAGACATTCGGATACGTGAATCGCTACGATATTTGGTTGCACATATGTGATTGAATAAATCTATGTACAAATATTTAAACATGGTCTTTGAATTTCACTTAAAAAACGCTACGAACTTATGTACCGACCCAATAGTATAAGTATTAAAAATTACTATATTGTTACTGTATTGTAAGAAATATCAAATATCGAAAATACTCTGATAGATTTAAAATAATTATCTGCATACCCGTCTTGTGTCATTGCCGCTGTTGGGTAAAGGTGGATAATTCGGGACACTGTGTATTAACCAGAAACCTTGTTGCATATTCGCCATCACGGCGCCCTTCGCATGGCCATATTTTCCATTGATAGGTCTATTAGGCGGATCATCGTTATACAAGATCCAGAAAGCCTTTGATGCCTCTGACTAAAAGTTTGTAATAATATAAACGAATATTACATACCTATTATGAAAAATAATATAAATTAAAAAATCTGACTTTTCTTTCAAAATTAAAGAAAACTTTGCAATATTATGATTTTTGAAAAGAAAAATTCTTTAAAATATATAAAAATTGATAAATATATTTAAAATTTATTAAATTAAAATTACAGTTAATTTACACTTGTAATTAAAATTAATAGAAAATAGATTTTAGCATTTTTTATGCAGAACAGACAGCGAATATTGAAAAAAAATTGCACTTTAGTACAAATAATTTATTTAATAAATAAATCTGAGAATAAAGAATCTGTCAAATATAATATATGTACGTATATGATATGAAGTATAATAAATGTACGTATATGATATGATTTATTTTCTCTCACATCATTATATAAAGGTGCTAATGTATTTCCTGGTATAGAATTTTCGTCGCTGATTTTTTTCGCAGATAATTGCCAACCCTTGTCAATAGTTTTATTGGTCATATATAGATACGCTAATCCGTTTCTAATCACAGGATTGCTGCTTTGTGACACCTTTGGTAACTTGTAAAGTACATACCTAAAATTGCAATAATTATTCATTAGATTGTTATCAATTATTAGTAGCGAATACAATAATTATGAAAGTTGTAAAATAGATGGGAGACCATAAAATTTTCCATTAATAAGATTAATATGCAATCATTAAAAATATATATAATTACTTCTTATTCAAAGTTTTATGAGTTTCATTATGAGTTCATTAAAAATTAATACGTATTTACGTTATTACGGAAAAATATTTTATTATGTATGTATATTGTGTTTCGATCTTTAAATAAATTCAAATTTATGTAAAGAGAGATAAATGTAAGAAAAAATTTAGAATGGAGTTTCGAAAAGAGCCTAGCTCCGATTTCGATGAAACTTTGTGAAAAGCTTTATTTCAGGTTAAAATAGAAGCCTCTAAAGAGAATTTTGGCGACTCCTATAAGAAAGTCATTTTTTAAGAGAAGATAGTATCAAATCGATAATTATTTACATTAGTGGACACCTCGCCGATGACCTTGACTTTCACATATGTTATAAGAGTGAGGTTGCTGATTAATATTGACTTTGTTTTATTTGGCGGTCTCGTATAGTTTTTGAGATATTTAACGAAAAAGATTTACTGAGTTATACGATTTTACATGGGTTTGCAACTTTTTGCGCGAAGCGAGGTCCATCTCATATCACCTTGGATGTTTCGGATGTAAAACGAGATATACAATTATATGGTTGTGCATGGATTTGCAAGATTTCCCATAAGGATAATTTTAAATGTAGTAATTTTAGTAATAGTAAATATTAGTAATAGTATAGTGATCTTTTATTAAAATTATAAAAATACAAAAAGTTATGACTTTTACATGTGGGCAAGGAGGAACTTCGCCCCTCGCATTTTATTTGTCATATTTAAATAAATTAATCTGCTAAAAGTATGCTCTATTAAATGTATATGGTGTCAGAAAATTACGTTTTATTTAGTAAATTTTTTCGTTAAATATCTCAAAAACTATACGAGACCGCCAAATAAAACAAAGTAAATATTAATTAGTAATCTCATTCTTATAACATATGTGAAGATCAAGATCATCGGTAAGATGTCCGCTAATGTAAATAATTACCACAATTATTATACTTTTTACCATTTTCTTCTAAAAAATGACTTTTTTATAGCAGTCGCCAAAATTCCTTTTAGAGGCTTCCATTTTAATCTAACAATAAAAGAAAGCTTTTTACAAAATTTCATTGAAATCGGAGATAGGCCCTTCTCGGAACTTCATCCAAAATTTATTTGACTCAATTATTAAATCATGTCATATATGCATGAAATTCTTGATATAAATTATTATAAAATATACTTATTCGCAATTCTCTAAAATCTCTTTTGAAATTTTTAGCAAATTTTTATAACTCGCGACAACTGATCTTATCTTTTAAAAATTCCTAAAATCTATGTAAGACTTATAAGATATCAAGAGACACGGTAGCGTCTTGCGCTAAGTTCACGCGAAGCAGCGAGGCACTCCGGATAAATGTTACATAGGTATCTCGAACGCACTTACCAATCGACGACTTGATTGTTTTCGTCCCTGCATAAAGGAGTTGTTATATTTGTGGCATTGCACATAAAAAACAAAATGTTTATGCACAGTAATAAAAACATTTTGAACGAAGCGTTAACGATGCTCATAATCGGCAAAAATTTGTAGCGCAAAAACACCAGTTGAATTTACTAGTTTAATCGACAGATGTTTATGATGAATGACGTTAATTAAAAAAGCGACAATAAGCGCAAATTTCTGTACTTATACCACTATACTTGAGCCTATTACGTCATAGAATAAAGTTGCTGGAATTGCGTTGACAAACAGTTTGACATCTGCATTACTTTCAGTTCATTGAAGCGCACGTCGCACATTCCTGTCTAAATGCTTTCTGAAACACGTGCAAATTTATATGTAAATTTGCAATTGCGATAACGTTGATGTTTGCCGCAAGAATAATATATCTTTTGTAATCATTCTCAATAACATAATTTAAATTTTTGATAAGAAAAACGGTAACGTTTATTTTTTGTGAAATATCTATTATACCTATAATAATATTGTGTGTCGTGTGTATATGTGTGGACATTTTTTTTTTTTTTATCTCAATTTGCTCATTAGCGTTTCGTTTATTACTACCGTGTAAATTTTTCATGTGAATAAAATGCGACGTAGATATTCTCTCATAGAATGATCCCAAGTAGCACATGTTGATTGCATAAACGTTTCCTAAACGTTATCTAATACCATTACTATTACCATTATATATTTCGAAATTGTTATTACAGTATTTTGCAAAAAATAAACGCTATTGTTTTTTATCAAAAATTCAAATAATTTAACGTCTTTAACGAAAATATCGAAATAAATAACAAATTTGCATAATAGTAATAAATTTTGTATAATAAATTTGCTTTTAATTAAATATTGATAAAGAAAATTTTTTAAGAAAGAGAAAGAGACCAATTTTAACATAAAATATTATATTTTCAAATTATTATTATGTAATAGATATTTTGCCAAAAATAAAGGCTACTATTTCTAATCAAAAACAAGCTGAAAATTGTGCAAATTAGAAACTTGCACATTGCTTCCTCATCATTTTACTCCTCACAAGCTCACAAAGCTTAAGCTCGCTAAAGCAAGCGAGTTTTTCACTTTTGGCTTCTTCATAGATGAAGTTTTGTGAGCGAAACAGAAAAATAAAGAAGCAATGTGCTATTTTCTAATTTGCAACCATCTTTTAATGATACTCTAATCATGTAAAAGTATTTAGCCCGATATCTCAAAATTTGCGAAAGTTAGAGCAATCACACCCTTTTTTTGAAAAATTTTATAAAAAATAAACTTCTTCACCGATCCTAGCTAAATTCAATACCAACCATCCTTTAATGATACTCTAATCATGTAAAAGTATTTAGCCCGATCTCTCAAAATTTGCGAAAGTTAGAGCAATCACACCCTTTTTTTGAAAAATTTTATAAAAAATAAACTTCTTCACCGATCCTAGCTAAATTCAATACCAACCATCCTTTAATGATACTCTAATCATGTAAAAGTATTTAGCCCGATCTCTCAAAATTTGCGAAAGTTAGAGCAATCACACCCTTTTTTTGAAAAATTTTATAAAAAATAAACTTCTTCACCGATCCTAGCTAAATTCAATACCAACCATCCTTTAATGATACTCTAATCATGTAAAAGTATTTAGCCCGATCTCTCAAAATTTGCGAAAGTTAGAGCAATCACACCCTTTTTTTGAAAAATTTTATAAAAAATAAACTTCTTCACCGATCCTAGCTAAATTCAATACCAACCATCCTTTAATGATACTCTAATCATGTAAAAGTATTTAGCCCGATCTCTCAAAATTTGCGAAAGTTAGAGCAATCACACCCTTTTTTTGAAAAATTTTATAAAAAATAAACTTCTTCACCGATCCTAGCTAAATTCAATACCAACCATCCTTTAATGATACTCTAATCATGTAAAAGTATTTAGCCCGATCTCTCAAAATTTGCGAAAGTTAGAGCAATCACACCCTTTTTTTGAAAAATTTTATAAAAAATAAACTTCTTCACCGATCCTAGCTAAATTCAATACCAACCATCCTTTAATGATACTCTAATCATGTAAAAGTATTTAGCCCGATCTCTCAAAATTTGCGAAAGTTAGAGCAATCACACCCTTTTTTTGAAAAATTTTATAAAAAATAAACTTCTTCACCGATCCTAGCTAAATTCAATACCAACCATCCTTTAATGATACTCTAATCATGTAAAAGTATTTAGCCCGATCTCTCAAAATTTGCGAAAGTTAGAGCAATCACACCCTTTTTTTGAAAAATTTTATAAAAAATAAACTTCTTCACCGATCCTAGCTAAATTCAATACCAACCATCCTTTAATGATACTCTAATCATGTAAAAGTATTTAGCCCGATCTCTCAAAATTTGCGAAAGTTAGAGCAATCACACCCTTTTTTTGAAAAATTTTATAAAAAATAAACTTCTTCACCGATCCTAGCTAAATTCAATACCAACCATCCTTTAATGATACTCTAATCATGTAAAAGTATTTAGCCCGATCTCTCAAAATTTGCGAAAGTTAGAGCAATCACACCCTTTTTTTGAAAAATTTTATAAAAAATAAACTTCTTCACCGATCCTAGCTAAATTCAATACCAACCATCCTTTAATGATACTCTAATCATGTAAAAGTATTTAGCCCGATCTCTCAAAATTTGCGAAAGTTAGAGCAATCACACCCTTTTTTTGAAAAATTTTATAAAAAATAAACTTCTTCACCGATCCTAGCTAAATTCAATACCAACCATCCTTTAATGATACTCTAATCATGTAAAAGTATTTAGCCCGATCTCTCAAAATTTGCGAAAGTTAGAGCAATCACACCCTTTTTTTGAAAAATTTTATAAAAAATAAACTTCTTCACCGATCCTAGCTAAATTCAATACCAACCATCCTTTAATGATACTCTAATCATGTAAAAGTATTTAGCCCGATCTCTCAAAATTTGCGAAAGTTAGAGCAATCACACCCTTTTTTTGAAAAATTTTATAAAAAATAAACTTCTTCACCGATCCTAGCTAAATTCAATACCAACCATCCTTTAATGATACTCTAATCATGTAAAAGTATTTAGCCCGATCTCTCAAAATTTGCGAAAGTTAGAGCAATCACACCCTTTTTTTGAAAAATTTTATAAAAAATAAACTTCTTCACCGATCCTAGCTAAATTCAATACCAACCATCCTTTAATGATACTCTAATCATGTAAAAGTATTTAGCCCGATCTCTCAAAATTTGCGAAAGTTAGAGCAATCACACCCTTTTTTTGAAAAATTTTATAAAAAATAAACTTCTTCACCGATCCTAGCTAAATTCAATACCAACCATCCTTTAATGATACTCTAATCATGTAAAAGTATTTAGCCCGATCTCTCAAAATTTGCGAAAGTTAGAGCAATCACACCCTTTTTTTGAAAAATTTTATAAAAAATAAACTTCTTCACCGATCCTAGCTAAATTCAATACCAACCATCCTTTAATGATACTCTAATCATGTAAAAGTATTTAGCCCGATCTCTCAAAATTTGCGAAAGTTAGAGCAATCACACCCTTTTTTTGAAAAATTTTATAAAAAATAAACTTCTTCACCGATCCTAGCTAAATTCAATACCAACCATCCTTTAATGATACTCTAATCATGTAAAAGTATTTAGCCCGATCTCTCAAAATTTGCGAAAGTTAGAGCAATCACACCCTTTTTTTGAAAAATTTTATAAAAAATAAACTTCTTCACCGATCCTAGCTAAATTCAATACCAACCATCCTTTAATGATACTCTAATCATGTAAAAGTATTTAGCCCGATCTCTCAAAATTTGCGAAAGTTAGAGCAATCACACCCTTTTTTTGAAAAATTTTATAAAAAATAAACTTCTTCACCGATCCTAGCTAAATTCAATACCAACCATCCTTTAATGATACTCTAATCATGTAAAAGTATTTAGCCCGATCTCTCAAAATTTGCGAAAGTTAGAGCAATCACACCCTTTTTTTGAAAAATTTTATAAAAAATAAACTTCTTCACCGATCCTAGCTAAATTCAATACCAACCATCCTTTAATGATACTCTAATCATGTAAAAGTATTTAGCCCGATCTCTCAAAATTTGCGAAAGTTAGAGCAATCACACCCTTTTTTTGAAAAATTTTATAAAAAATAAACTTCTTCACCGATCCTAGCTAAATTCAATACCAACCATCCTTTAATGATACTCTAATCATGTAAAAGTATTTAGCCCGATCTCTCAAAATTTGCGAAAGTTAGAGCAATCACACCCTTTTTTTGAAAAATTTTATAAAAAATAAACTTCTTCACCGATCCTAGCTAAATTCAATACCAACCATCCTTTAATGATACTCTAATCATGTAAAAGTATTTAGCCCGATCTCTCAAAATTTGCGAAAGTTAGAGCAATCACACCCTTTTTTTGAAAAATTTTATAAAAAATAAACTTCTTCACCGATCCTAGCTAAATTCAATACCAACCATCCTTTAATGATACTCTAATCATGTAAAAGTATTTAGCCCGATCTCTCAAAATTTGCGAAAGTTAGAGCAATCACACCCTTTTTTTGAAAAATTTTATAAAAAATAAACTTCTTCACCGATCCTAGCTAAATTCAATACCAACCATCCTTTAATGATACTCTAATCATGTAAAAGTATTTAGCCCGATCTCTCAAAATTTGCGAAAGTTAGAGCAATCACACCCTTTTTTTGAAAAATTTTATAAAAAATAAACTTCTTCACCGATCCTAGCTAAATTCAATACCAACCATCCTTTAATGATACTCTAATCATGTAAAAGTATTTAGCCCGATCTCTCAAAATTTGCGAAAGTTAGAGCAATCACACCCTTTTTTTGAAAAATTTTATAAAAAATAAACTTCTTCACCGATCCTAGCTAAATTCAATACCAACCATCCTTTAATGATACTCTAATCATGTAAAAGTATTTAGCCCGATCTCTCAAAATTTGCGAAAGTTAGAGCAATCACACCCTTTTTTTGAAAAATTTTATAAAAAATAAACTTCTTCACCGATCCTAGCTAAATTCAATACCAACCATCCTTTAATGATACTCTAATCATGTAAAAGTATTTAGCCCGATATCTCAAAATTTGCGAAAGTTAGAGCAATCACACCCTTTTTTTGAAAAATTTTATAAAAAATAAACTTCTTCACCGATCCTAGCTAAATTCAATACCAACCATCCTTTAATGATACTCTATTCATGTAAAAAAATTTAGCTTGATATCTCAAAATTTGTGAAAGTTAGAGCAACCATGTCCTTTTGGTGCACATACACACATACATATACACATACGAACATTTTTAAAAAATATGATTTTTCAACATTTTAGAACATTCTAAACACATTGGTATCAAAAAATAATCTCAAAAAAAAAATTTTCACGGAAACAAACCTTCCACTATGAGGAAGCAAAATTTGCATAATAGTAATAAATTCTGCGTAATAAATTCGCGTTTAATTAAATATGAATAAAAAAAATTTTTCTAAGAGGGAGAGATCAGTTTTCACATAAAATATTATATTTCTAGGCTATTATTATATGTAACAGATATTTTGCAAAAAATAAATGCTATTGTACCTTATCGAAAATTCGAGTAATTTCAAAATTTATAGCGTTTAATTAAAAATTTCTAAAAAGAGAAAGAGAGAAAGAATTGTAAAAAAATTGTATTGATTATCAAATACATCTATTATATGTAAAAAACTTTATATATCGAAATATGGTACAACTACTTTATATATATTATCTAAGCTTCCTGTTTCAAATCTCCAATTTATAGAAAACAATTCCAATTTCCACATAAAACATTATATTTCCGAAAATTATTATTATGTAATAGATATTTCGCACAAATAATTTTCGCTATAATAAACATTTATTTTTCATAGTTTCTTTTATCGATTTCTACGTTTTAGTTCTTTATATTGAGAAAATTCCAGTGATTAAATCTTAATTTCTATTAATACAGTAACATAAGTATACTTAGAATTAATAATAAAAGTAAATATATATATATATATATATATATATATATATATATATATATATATATAGTGTGTGTAAATAAAAAAACACATGAGTGTGAGTGTTAACATCACATAACAACGAAAAGAAAGCTCAGATCAAAAAATGGTTCAGGACTTTTTGATTTGAATTGTTGTTCTGTATCTGATAGTGTTGTCCATATTCGTTTGTTTAGTTACACTCTGTATATATACATATACAGGGTAAGTCTTTTTAATCTTAACAGGCAAATATCTCAAAACCTGTAAGTTTTAGAAGGAAACTTTTTAGACAAGAGTTGTTTGGTTCTGAGGGGGAAAAGAGATAGGAATATATATATATAAATTTCCTATATATATATATATATATTGTGTATATATATCATAGAACGCGTAAAATATTTATAACGAGAAGGAAGTGATAACGCGTGCAGATAATGCCAGACGATGAAGATGTTCGTCCCCGCATGCATTCTACGCCTTTGTACATTTACTATACTATGTACATTTACTATAGTCTTGTCTTCGAGAGTACAGCAGCGTTATAAATGGGAATTTTATTTTAATAATGAAATATAGGATGCACGTGTTTGGAAAAGATACGACAGTTTTCACTTGCTTGCCCAGCCTTTTCTCTGCAATCTACCTCTTCGACTGATGATATCAACATTTTGTTGCAAGTCACACACATTCGCCGATGATGTGAACTACAACGAATCCGGGTCACAGCTCGCCAAGTTTCCGAGACAAAGACATGAGGAGAAATCGGAGAGACTGCGCTGATCGTAGAAATCGCTCGTGACGTCACATGGATTTTTACATGCATATATGATGCATTCTTTGTCATGCATTGCCATATAACAGATAAGATTTTTACCGCAATAAAACAAATGAGCATAATACGTCCGAAATAATTGTAGAAAAATAACTATTCGGAAAAAATATCTATTTATATATAATTATTAATAATATAACATGCGCGCATTCATATTATTTATACAGCAGACAACATTGCCGCAATGTTGCAATGTTGCAAATTGCAATTTCGCAATGTCGCAATGTTGCTGCAATATGTCTGTCCTGTATAAGTTATTAATGAAAAAACAAAGTTTTTTCATCAAAAAAACGCTATGTTTTTTTTTACACCAATTGATTTTTCTCATTATTTTGTGCATACAGATATCGAGGTAAGATAATCGAAAAGTAAATATTTTATGAGATATTTCACAGAGTTTATATAAAATTGTATGTCGCAAAGTATAAAATATCGAATATTGCGAGAAATCGATTTATGTAAACAAATTAGGATGATTCCATATAAAAAAAAGTGAAGATGACTTTGAAATAACCTCATGATCTTCATCCAAGATCAATCCACAATGGCGCCATCTTATCCCCCTTGAAGTCACAAACTTTTGTATGAAACATTTTTTGTAAAAGACATAGAAAAATGGATATTTAGATGGGGTCATTAAAAAATAACTCACCCTCTGTTTATTAGTAGAAGTATTTGCATTTTTCTATTTATTATTAAATGTATCTTTTAATTTTATATTTGCATCGAACTTTATGTGAATAACCCATACAGCACAAAACATTACCGCAATATTGCTACAATGTTTTGTGCTGTATGGGAAATCTATTTCCAGCATAATTCAAAATTCTACGTTCGAATTTATTAATATTCTAATTTATTATTTTTATTAAGAAACAGATGTCACATATATGTATATGTATATTTGTCACGTTTATTTTCTCTCAATTGCGCTGTCTTTTTTTCTCTCTTCAATTATTATAAAAATAATTTTATATAATAAATATAAAAAAGACGAATAGACGCAATTGACTGTTTTGAACATGATAGCGGGAAACCAAGAAATCTAATCGAGAAATTCGAGTGATCGATTGTACTGCGATGTCAAGCGACTAGGAAACAATAAGGAAAAAACATACCAAAGTATATTTTACAAAGAAATCGTGTATATATGTGGTCTCAATAATTTTGTATATTTTAAACAAATAATGTAAAATAATTATTACTTATTATAACAATTACTTATATAAGAGAATTAAAAAATATGACACACAAAAATTCTTGAAATTGTTAAATTAATACTCTAAAAATAAAACATCATATATCTCACATGGCACAGAACATTACAGCAATATTGCTGCAATGTTCTATGATTTATGGGATATATAATATTTTTACAGATTTTTTATTTTCTATATTTACTTATGTAATTTATCCGCCTCGACCTTTGACTATATAGTCAAAGGCCTCGACACTCTTCCTCGAGATGTCCTGCATATCTGCCGGGTGCCTGAGAGTTTGCGGCCGGTCCTGGGGAATAGTCGGAGAGCATTGGATGGGAGAGAAGAGAGAACATATATCGTCGATCATCGTTTCGTGCGATGATGGTATGGCGGTAGAGGATAGTGGATCGCGAGTATGCGGTTTCAAACCTGGTGTGATAATATATCATGAAGATATCGCGGCGAACATGAGCGAGCAAAGCTATTATTATATTCTCTTAAATCGCTAGTAACTCTAACGCTCCTGTGTGTGTCCCGTCGTCTCTTTGTATTTTCCTCGCAGCGTTCTCTCTCTTGTACAACCTGTACCTATGTGTCTCGCGAGCGACAGAGAGGAAATGTAACGTAATATGACAACGATGGCATCGTCTCGACGGAGCGAGTCCACGAGTGCCGCTGTCACAGATCATGCTCCTACGTTGTCGCTTTGACAATCAGCTGATCAGCGCGATGTCCCGACGTGATTCTACTAGGATGGACCGATAGACGCTTGGATTGTCGGATTCATCTCGCAGTGGCTAATAAGAATCGCGCGCACGATTTAATCTCGCGAGCTTGAAGTAAAAATCAAACTTACTTTAAACTATTCAATTTCACAGCGATTTCATGCGAAGGTCCACCTTACTCTTGTAGAGTTTTATCGCGAGTGATACCAAACGCGGCGTATCTTATAATAACTTTTGCAATAATACAGCATGAAAATTCAGTTTAATATTTGTACAAACTTCTTAATCCTACCAATTTTTAATTCATTCTTTCTAATATAATAAATGCGAAATATATAAGATTTTTTACATTCATATATCTTTCTGCGTTACAATATTTATAATATTTTATTTATCTTTATTTATATTTATATGATGTAATTTTACAGGTGGCAGCGTGAGATGCATGTCTTGTGGAAAGCTCGTACATAATGCACAAAGTATCTACAAAATTATGAGCGAGAGTCTTCTATGCCCTAATTATTGAACAATAAAGAAAAAGCACAACAATGAACAGGGCAGAAAGCGCAGATGCCGGTAAGGGTTGGCGCGAATGCGCCAGCTGGTTGACGAGATGCGGCGCATTACGAGCGGATCACAAGGCCAATTGGCCACAGGCGACAGCATTTGACTTGGCCTACACGTTGCGAGATGGTGTCTTGCTTTGCAATTTATTGAACATTGTGGACTCGGGTTGTATAGACATGAAGGATGTGAATCAGAAGCCGCAAATGGCACAGTTCCTGTGCTTGCGTAACATAAAGGTGTTCCTGTCAGCATGCTCGAGCGTCTTTGGTCTCACCGACTCAGAACTCTTTGAGCCGTCTATGCTATTCGACCTATCTAATTTCCATCGTGTCCTCTGCACGCTTTCCGCCTTATCCAACTGTCCACGATTCAGGCGAAAGGGTATACTGTAAGTAACTTACTGTCTTCTGCGTATTTTATCACATGGAGAAGATTTGAATTCTCATCAGTGGTAATTATAAAGTCGATGAAAAATAATCAGAAAATAAATCTTATTTATTGCAGTGGATTTTCTGTTGGTCATGGAAGATCACAAGAGGACATTTATAAAGACTTGCAAAGTGCTGGCGTAGGGTAAGAGTTTTTATATTAATTAATATCTTAGTATCTTACATAAGCTCATTACAGCAGTTTATTTACAGCAGTTTATTGATAAATATTAAAATTCAAAGAGCATTTTTCACATTGATATTCAAAATCAAAATTTACCTCTTTTAAAGGAAAAAACTTCTATTTTCTTTCATGAAATCATAAAGACACTATCATCTATTTTTAAATAGCGATTTATAAAAGACTAAAAAGAAACAATTACTCTATTTTGCCTTAAAAAAGATAATAGAATGAAATTTTTTATATAGTAATTCTTATTAATTGGTTTAGCGCCACGCCCGGATTGGTGGCGTTTACCATAAAAACTAAGGCTGTGGACGTAGATGAGTCCCAAGTTTATCAGGAATTGCTCTGTTTCTCGAGCAATTCTCAGCGCGATTGGCCTTCCGCGGAGAAGGTACACGTCGTTCACGGCTTTGCAATTTTAAAAACATCTTACAAAAAAAAATGCCTGCCATCACTGTATTGTTATATAAATTTTATTCATAAATACAAGCGTAGACATCTTAATCTATAAATATTAAACTATTCAAAAATTGAAATATATGCAAAGATGATATTATATGCTGTGATTATTTGGACACTTTCACATGCTCAAATTTACCTTACTTTCAATTTTATTTCACTGTAGATGTTATTTCTAATCTGTTTTTATGACATTAAAATTTCAACTTATTGCACAATTATATGTATAATAAGTAATAGTTATATTTTTTCTAAGAATGTTTTTATTTTAAGGATGTGAAACATTTTTTCATTATGATATTTTTTTACACTTCATATATATATACACGGGCTGTCTAAAAAGTTCTGAAACTGACTTCATTAAAAATCGAGAAATAAAAATATATAAATTTTATTAATTACAATGTTCAACATAGTCCCTCATGTCAATGCAACGTTGTGAACGTTCTTTCAACCGTTGAAAGCTTCTACAGTAGTCTTTATTTGGATTAGCCTTCAATTTCCTCGTCACATTCGCTTGGATATCCAGGAAATTGTCAAACCGCTCTCCCTTCATTTGAATCTTTAATTTTGGAAATAAAAGAAAACCGGAGCCAAATTTAGCGAGTACGGGGAGTGTTAAAGCACTGGCACTTGTTTATGAGCCAAAAACTGAACCACGATTGCCGCGGAGTGCACCAGTGCGTTTTCGTGCAGCAGAAAAAAACTCCATTCGGCGTAACGCTGCGGACAAATGTGTCTGATTCGTACCAAAAGATGATCGAGCACCTCTAAATAGTACTTGGCAGTAACTGTGATGTCTGGAGGAATAAATTCATGATGAATCAAGCCATCTGCGTCGGTGATGTTTGTGGAGAGATGGCCCGATCTTGGGTCATCTTACAATTCCCTTTCTTCATGGAAACGCTTATACCATTCAAATACACGTGGACATGATAGACAATCTTCACCATATGTTTGTTTCATCAAATTATAGGCCTCAGTTGGTGTTTTATGAATTTTAAAACAAGATTTGAGAACAGCGCGCTATTCCATTACGATAATTATGACGAGTATAGCAATCTTACAAAAAAATGCACGGCCACCACTCGAAATATACTGCTGGTGACGACGTGAAATAAATCTTATCTATATAATAAGTAGTCGAATATTAGTACTAAAAGGTCCCACAGTTGTTTGAGCGATAGTGCTACTTGTTCGTTCAGGAAAAAGTCAGTCTCGGAACTTTTTAGACAGACCGTATGTGTATGTATGTATGTACATATATATATATATATATATATATTTTTTTTTACCAATATATATATTTTTACATGTAATACTTAAAATTTTTTACATTTCATAGAGTGTACAAAAATATTATAATGAAAAAATGTTGACATCCTTAAAATAAAAATTCCTTTCTTAGATAAAAAATGTAATTATTGCTTATTATATGTATAATTGTGTGATGAGTTAAAATTTTAATGTCATAAAAACAGATTAGAAACCTAACACCTGCATTGAAATAAAATGGAAACTGAGGTAAATTTATATATATGTATATATATACTGCATACAACGTAAAAGATACAGTGATGGCATTGTTTTATTGTTTATGTTGAAGTTGACACAACGACAGTACTTACATATCAATTGCAATTGATGTCTTATCATCAATAACAGATTTTATAATTGTGTTATTTATAATTTGATTTTTCCCGGGAGACGTTTAGCAACTTCTGTATGCATGTATAGTGCATGGCTGTTTTTCTTTTTTTTTTTTTTTTTTTTTTTTTTTTTTTTTTTTTTTATATACCTAAGGACGTACCCCATGCTAAAGCCGCGAGGATGAGGGTCGTCGCAGAAGGTTTAGAAGACGGGAGGGTGACGAAACGGGCGGCGGGGGGGATAACGAAGACCCGGTCGGCGAGGAGGACGGATACGGAGCTTTTTGCAGTCACGCGCAAAGCGAGGAAATCTACCAGGATCTTTGTAGTCTACACTTACCACCTCCTCCGTCCGTTGCTCAGGTCATCATCTTCTCGCCGTTATTCTTATTTATTTATCAAGTTTTTACACTTTTATATTCTAATTGTGGGACATTAGAGGACACATTTTTTAACTTTTATTTTCCTTAGCAATTATTCGAAAAATTTGGAAAAAAGAAATTAGAGAAGGAAAATCCTGTATTAAAACATACAAAAAAAATGCATATATTAAGTGTTAATCTCATCGTTAAAGATGAAAAAAAAGACTAGCGAAATCTGTTTTATTTATTGTTCACACGCATATTTATGAACTATGATTAATTTTGTTATCTTTCATGTGCTCGCTTTACATTTTGCACAACTTAAACTGTAGTTTGCGCAAAACCAATTTTCTTTATCGAAATAATCTTCATATAATAGGGTGGTGCTATTTCCGGAGGTGAGAAAAGGGATTATGTGATCCAGGAGCTTGTAGAGACCGAACGAAATTACACAGAGGTTCTCAGTAGTTTACTCAGGCATTTTGCGCGTCCGCTATCATCGTTACTCCGGCCCGAGGACTCAACACGCATCTTTTTCGGCATCAAGGAACTTGCAGAGATCCACGTGGGCTTCCACAGTCAGCTGCGCAAGGCGCGAAACGGCGCCGCGCTTGCCCAAGTTTTCCTGGACTGGCGGGAGAAGTTCCTTATTTACGGCGACTACTGCGCAAATCTTACTCTTGCGCAAAATACTCTGCAGGAAATCTGTGCACGTAACGAAGTAATCAATCAAGAAGTTATCGTAAGTTCAACTCGTAGAATCGTAAAAGTTCAAGAGAGAAGAATTTTATATTTTACAAGTGTATTTTTTTCTTTTGCAGAACAAAGACTACAATTTAATGAAATTTATTTAATATAATTCAAGATGTAATCTTTAAATAGATTGCGATCATATATAAAATCAGTAATTAATGTAGCAGTAATATGTATATGTTGCGGGTTGTTTTAACATTGACATTTATTACAGAGGTGTCAACAAGAAGCTAACAACGGTAAATTCAAGCTGCGCGATATATTGTCTGTGCCGATGCAGAGGGTGCTCAAGTATCACTTGCTGTTGGACAAGTTAGTGGAAGAAACTCCGCGTGAATGGGTTGAAGATTGCCATGCGCTGACAAAGGCGAGGGAAGTAATGGTCGATGTCGCTCAGTATATAAATGAAGTAAAACGCGATTCCGACACATTGGATATCATAAAGGATATTCAAGCATCAATAATCGATTGGGATGTGCCCGAAGATGCGCAGTTGAAAGATTTCGGAAGATTACTTCGTGATGGCGAGCTGAAGGTTTGCTCAACGTTTTTTCGCACTAAAAGAAACATTTAGAATCAGATTGCATAACAATTTTAATCGCTGCCTGAATGCAAAATGAAAAATTATTTAAAAAGATTAACATAAAATGTAAATTAAATAACTTTTGAAAGAAAATTACAATTACACGATAAGCCTAATAAAAAAGGAAAGTAGTTAGACTCGATACGATCCCGTCATTTAATTTTTTTGCAGGTGAAGGCTCACGGCGACCAGCGGATAAAGGCTCGTTACGCGTTCGTGTTCGAGCAAGTAGTATTGATTTGCAAAGCGGGCAGGGGAGACCAGTATTGTTACCGGGAAACTTTACGATTAGACGATTATAGATTGGAGGATCATATAGGACGAAGAACGTTGGGTAGAGATTCGCGTTGGTCCTATCAATGGTTACTTGTACATAAGCAGGCATACACGGCGTACACATTGTACGCAAGAACAGAGGAGCAAAAGCAGATGTGGATAAAGGCACTGCAAGATGCAATGGATAATGTCAATCCCGCGGCCTGTCGCAATACCAATCACAAGTTCAAGTTGACGACGTTCGATGCTCCTAGAAGCTGTCAACGGTGTGGAAAGTTTCTCAAAGGTCGCATATTCCAGGTAAATGACAAACTAGCTGGCGAAACACATTCAACCGTTACTTAGGCGTCATTAATCATTTGTAAAACTGGCAATTCAAGCATATGATAAAATTTCATGCTGATTCGTTCTTGTCTGATAAGTTCTTTCGAATTAATAAAACACTTTTAATGCAGCAACATTATTATACAGGGTTACAAATGCGAGATATGTCGCCTAGCCGTGCACAAGCAATGCATCGCGCATTCGGGTCGCTGTGTACCCACGGCACCGCTGTTGACTCCGCCTCCACCCCTACCTTGTGAACGCGCGCTTGCCACGAAGTTGTGGTTCGTTGGGGAGATGGGTAGAGATACGGCGTCCAACAAGCTGGAATCTCGCGAAGATGGCACGTACATGTTGCGCGTCCGTCCAGCCGGACAGCCGCGCCTCAAGCATGAAACGAATTATGCGCTCAGTATCAAGTAAGCTCAAACATATAACAATATTTTTGCTCAAAAAAAAGCAGAGTTTTTAACTTTTCTTTCCATATTAAGTCTGATTGAGAACAAATATTTAGATCGTATATTCCATTGTTTCATTAATTTTTAATATTTAAATCAAATTATTAAATATACATTAAAATATCTTGCCTTCATAAAATTCATTTTTCTTTTTCTCCTTTCTCTTATTTTTCTTCCTTTTCTCCTTCTTCCTCTTCTTCTTCTTACTCTTTTTCTTTTCCCTCTTCTTCTTTCTCTTCTTCTTCTTCTTTTTTTTTAATTAAATTTTTCTGAATATTTTTTTCATTGTGGCTATATACTTTAATACTCAGATATTTCAGGGCGGAAGGAGCGGTGAAACATATTCGAGTGTTCAAACGTGATGTGGATGGTGCGGATCTATATTATCTCAGTGAGTCCCGATTCTTCAAGAGCGTACTTTGAAAAGCTGGATCAGCGTCTACTATGGCCTTACCGGCGAGTTCTAGCTAAAGCACTATTCGACTTTCGCGGCAGCGAACGCAATCAACTAAGCCTGCGACGTGGTTGTCGCGTCGTGGTACTAAGCAAGGAGGGTGATGCCAAAGGATGGTGGAAGGGTAAAATAGGCGATCAAGTAGGATTCTTTCCAAAAGAGTATGTGGAAGAGGAGTAGAACTGTTAAAGTCAAATTATATTTAGATCATTGCATATATACCGAATTTTTAAAATTTTAAGATGTCTCATAATTGATTATTATATATTATGTTTAAATATCTGTAATTTTGGTATTTGGATTAAGAATGATCAAAATGATTGAAATATTCCGCATCATGCTGATATATTCCTCTGTTGATATGGCTTTTCTACCTTTGTTTGATTTTTATGGCATCTAAATTGCTCGTTTTTGTCTAGATCTTAAATCTTTTTTTGTTTTTATACATTTGATAGTATCTGTTGAAATATGGTATTAACATATGAAAAGGATAAATATTATAAAAACATTAACACATATGTGGGGCATGAAACTGAGGAAACATTTTTGAATTTTACTGTTCATAAAAATTTTTTTATGTTCCATATAAAGTCATGCAAATTGCTTCTTATTCTGAGAAACATAATTGAAAATTTTATCTATCGTATATATCTTGTTTTTTTTTCACAGATCCGTGAAAAAAATATAAAACCGATATTTTATACGCAACGATCTAATCTAATTAATATTCATTAATCTCTGAATGGTCAATAAATGCGATACACCGTGATAATCACTTATGGTGCAATCATGGTAATTTTATTAATATATACCTCAATAGGAAAAAAATAAGAGGAACGAATTTAATCGCGAAGCATTTTGCATTGTATAAGAAAAAAAAGAGAAAATCTAAATAAATCTATAATCTCGCGCACGTAACTTCGATGTTACTTGTTCTCTTAGATTTTACGAAATCCGAATGCATCACACATATACTGTTGTAATGCATACTTGATGCTACGCTTAGATAAATATTCTTAGCCACATGTATAGAATTATAAAAAGATAACAATTATTTTTTACTGTGACACGCCATTTCTGATTATCATTAGAAGGCGATTAATATAAAGGCACATCATAAAGATTAAAGTTGTTCATTCGAAAATACCATTAGAAAAATATATATCGTGCATATACTAAATACAGAATATTCTTAAAAAGATGGGAATTGAATTGTCTTTTTAAGAAATCTCGAATTAAATTTTTTTGAAAAAGAAAAAAAATTATACCAAAGAATTAATTTTGAAATTTTTATGTGACTGCATAATTCTGCACTTCAAATTTGTTAATAAAAAGATGTCTACTATCAATTCTCATTTTTTTTTATAGACATACTGTTTATACAATAGCCTACATGTTACTGACAACTTTCTTCTTTATGATAAATTTTAGAGTCAATTGCTAGACATTAAAAAAGCTGTACATATACCATAATCTATGTACAATTAATAAGAGATACTTCTAGTTACATTTAAATTGCGAACAAATGCATAAATAAATTATACAGGGTATTCCCGGGTTAAATGGCCAAACTTGAAATATGAATTTAAGACCTTAAAACAAGAAAAAATTTTCCTCTGGAAGTATGCTCGCAAACGCTTCGTTCAAGAGATATTGACTTCTGAAGTTATGAACTATAGAAACGAATAATTTCGAAATAATCTAGGTTTATTCTATTTATTGCTGTACAATAATCAAAATTTAATAATTAAATGTTTTGTTCAAAATGATGGCCTCCAGCTCGGAGAAAAGCATCGATGACAGAATGAGTGGCTGATTGACATTGTACATCTGTCATTTCTTCGCACGGTTGCACTATTCTCCGTTTTAGTAATTGAAGGTCATTAATAGGCACTTCATAAACTTGTCAATGACCTTCGATCTTCAAAACAAAAATAAAAAGAAACATTTCGAAATTATTCGTTCCTATAGTTCATAACTTCAGAAGTCAATATCTCTTGAACGAAGCGTTTGCGAGCATACTTCCAGAGGAAAATTTTTTCTTGTTTTAAGGTCCTAAATTCATATTTCAAGTTTGGCCATTTAACCCG